TGCCCCCTGCAGTAGCGACAACTGACTGGTGCCGGTGCAATTCCCAAACCCGAAACCCCAAAGTAATGATTTGCTTGGTCTTCTTCTTGGTTCCTGGTGGTCGTGGTGATGAAGGGGGTCGTAGTCGTGGCGACGGTGGTGGCGGTGGTGGCGGGGGTGCGTTGTGGTACGCAGTGGTGGCAGTGCGTGCCAACAGAAAAGAACCTCGGGTCGCGTGCTCGGTAAACATTGAGTATGACACGTGGGGGCGACAGCAAAAGTCGGCGTCACCATACGGCCATCGCGCACACCTGTGCGTAGATGCAGACTCTGAAGCCAATGACGATGACATGGGTTTCTTGCTTCAATCTTCGCCGAAGAGTGCTGCTTTTCAATCAAGAGGCAGACGGATCAATCAAGTCAGAGCTGAAGGGTGCTGTGCCCTCTGTCCGGGTTGCGGATTGAAGGAAAGCGCCCAATGCAGAGGGCAGAGTCTAGACTCTTGCAAATCCGATGACGACACCAGAGAACAGCTGCAAGCTGCTTTTTTTTTACAGCGCCTCTTCCACCTCTTGTGCCATCAGCCTCACTTGAGAGGCCCAGTGGGGGATGTCCACCTCAGACGCGAAGCTCTGAAGGCGATGAGGGTCGCAGTCTTCTTCCCCGACCTCGGCCTTCTTGCGCAGAAGCTGATTTTCCTCCACGAGCCTCTTAGAGGGCAAAGGCTGCGATGAAAGCTGCAACGTCACAGTGCCTTGTGTGGCTTTCTCGTAGGCTCTCGAGCTCTTCACGCATGGAGGCGACCTGAGCATGGGGCGTAGTTAAGGCCAGGGTCGAGGTCAAACGATTTGATCCCGGGTGGTAAAATTCGGCCTGGTCTGGATCCAGATGCAGGAGATGAGACGAGGTCTTGCCCTTCACTTTCACATCCTCTGGTTAATGTACCCGGATGCCGTTGAATCATTTTCAAGCTCCAAGGGCACCTTGCCCTTAGCGATGAGGGGTATTCCCAGCTTTGGCCCTGTGAGCATGGCTCCATGACTGCTGCATATCAATAGGAAACTCGGACGCTGCCTGTGAAGTCAGGGCATACGGTTTGCACCGCACCACCCAGGGCCTTGCAACAACGGACACTGCAAGTCAGCCACGGCTTGTAGCTGAAGAGCTTCAGCTAGCATAGCATGCTTTGAGATTTATGCACCAAGATCGGCACATAGATGCATGTGATGACCTTATTTGAGGACATCATTGCACATGTGTGGGGTGGGCATGTGGCAAGTAGGTCGATGACCGAATCCAAATTCTTCTCTTCGTACCTCATGGGCAACGATCTGCTTCGCGGCGCAAGGCCCGGAGAAGATCTTGCTTAGTTTGGCAGTAGCCATCTGAAGGCGTTTCGAAGCGATGGTCTGTCTGCAGGCAACAGCACTATCATGCTTCAAACTTTCACCAAGGCAGCCGGTGTGGGTCTGGGGCTTCCTGACGCCTTGGTGGCACGTTTTCAAAGCACATACTTTCGAAACGTGGATCGCCTTAGGGACAGTCCAAAGTGCCGCTAAGTGGGCATGTGGAGCATTACAGTTCGATTTGTGCTGATTCCCGGCCTGGTGGTCTCCTGCACCCCTCCCCCGCCCTTACCGCAGTGACAGCCACAGCTTAGAGGTGTCTGGGTCGCTTGAAACTGCCTGAGGACTCCGCAAGTCTGGAGTGTCGAACATGGAGCTCTCTGGAAGTCCCAGCTCTCTGGCCTTGCTACCAGAAGCGCCACCACGACCAAAAGGTATGTCTCTCCAGCTCAGCGGCTGCGTTTAGGAACTTCGTGATGTTCTCCTCAGAGCAGAAGACCAAGCATCGTCAAACGCGAGCGCCAGACATACTGCACCAAAGCCACCATCTGCTTGAATGGTACAGACTGCTGGTTCACAGTCCTGTTGCGCACGTCTTCCACATCCCCAGTCAGATGATGTGTTCAGCACTTTAAACACCACATCTGCGATGGGACGTCCTGATGAGTCCAGGCTGAATGGCATTGACCAGGTTGCAAAGGACCACCCCTCACCAGAACTCACAGTTTAGCCAGCGAGGCCAGTTGAACGACTGCAGCACCTGATTTCAGCCATTCGCCAACGCTCGCTTCGCCCTTCTGACCTGGCACACACGCTGCAGGAGCAGCCGGGCAGTGGGCGTGCTGCTTTTTCTACTTCCATAGGGACCGTGCCGCCGACAATGGACTCGATCCACTGGACAACGTCCTGCCTCAGACTCAGCTAGCTGACAAGGCTTACACATTCAAGCATTGCAATCATGAAAGCCCCATGTCTGAGCCAATGCTCAAGCAAGAGCCGTCCAAGCTTTTCTGGGATCCTAGCTCGTTGTTGGCACTTCGCTTGGACTTCTGATCCCACTCAATTGCAGCCGCGAGGTCTTCATCATCTTCCACTTCCATGCCAACTCAGTCTGTGGATACCCCCATGTACAAAACTGCTTACCGTAAGCGGTATCTGAACCTACCGCTATCTGTCTGAACGGAGTCTCTGGTTTTGTCGCTATAATCATGACTGATTGAAGATTCGTGTCTGTGCTTTTTTTCCTCAGATTTCTTTGAGCAGCTGACACACACACACACATCTGGCCGCAGTCAAACTACCCAAAGAGCATCTATCGCTGCAGTCTCCTGAAACACCTATGAGAACTTGGTGGCCGGGCGGTCTATTTTCGTACACGCAGCACCAGTGAGCGTCAGGCAGAAAAGTGCCACGCATGAGGGGAGGCTTCCTCGGAGAGACGCTGCTTGTCACCAGAATTTGGCAGCGCAGAAGATGGCACCTCTGCAAGCCCATAAACCGTCAGAAACATGTGGAACATGGTGCAATGCACTGGGCCCTACTGTCATCCACATGGGAAACTGCCCAAGTCAGAATGATGAGTAATGCAGAAGTTCTAAGCCAGGAAGCACATGGTATAACATTCGACTTGAGCTGATGGGATTTTCGGTGTACAGCCCACCATTGCAGCAAACCCGGTGGACTCTGGAATGAAAGGGCATCGAGAAATACGATCATCAAAAAAGGCAGACTCAGCAGCCGGTTCAAAACTAGCTGGCCTCGTGAAGGTGCGATCGTCGTGGCAAAGTGGGAGGCGAGAAAAGCTGCTTGAGAAAAACTGCTCTCTGACCCGGACGTACTTCATCACATGCAAAAACTAAAGTATCGATAGTCTCCCTGCAGGTTAGCACGACAGGTTGATTGATGTTGTGGCAACCACTCCTTTCTTCCTTTCACGTGCCTGTCAGTCAGACCATTACCCCTCGGCCTGCAAAGGTGTCATGCACACTCCAATCGCCCTGTGGCTCTCTGAACCCAGCGGATGGGGGGTTCTGGGATCACACGGGCTGCGGCGCAAATCAGCCGACATGATGAATTCTGCTATGGCCAGGCATGCAGACGCACAGATGGACCGTGCGAAGCATCCTGTGCGGAGACTAGAAATAAGCTATGTCACAATGTGCTGCAATGCTTCAAGCACGACCGATATCCCTCAGCCATGGTTTCAGGTGAAGGCAGACCTGGAACACCTGCCGAGCGCACGCCCCCAACATTAGTCCTCCATGCACAGGTCCTTCAACAAAGGCTGCCCCTGCTCTTTGCCGAAAGCAGATGTGTAAGGTGCTTGCCGGGGAAGATCTTGGCGAAGGACAGGCTGTTGCTCATCCAGTGCTCCGCATACCTTCCGATCCAGGAGGCATATTTTCCCTGATAGGACAACGACGAAGAACTGCCTGTACTGCTGCAGGCGATAGAAGTGCCTGCCGGTATTCCTCATGTGCATCTCCAATACAATCACATGTCAAAAAAATGATCACAGGTGTTGGCTAAGATCTTCGCCAAGACTTGGCGATCAGCCAGGCCGCTTCTTCCTCCCGACAGGGTCATCAGTTGGACCAGCACCAGGAAGCTTGGATCCGGGATCGATCGCTCCTCCAAGGAGACCGAGGAGGCCTTAGCAGCGACTTATGGTTGATGATATAAATCCTGCATTACCCATAAGAAGGAATATACCATATTATACCATAATATCGGGTCCTTAAATTAATGCAGGATTTATATATCATCAACAGCAGTATGCAACAGCCAACCTGCAATAGCCTGTCAGCTCCAGGGCAAGCACCAGCTCGTCTGCTTGGCTGGCTTGGCTCAAAATCTTGCAGAGACCTCTCCCAAACTTCAAATCTTCGGCCGCCTCTCATGGCTTCAAGCACGTGCCTTCGAAAAGGCGGAAGCCATCATTCCGGGAGGACAGCAAGGCTATCATGTTGCCTCAAAGGCAAAACTTGCTGGAAAGGAACACACACAAGAAGCGAAGCTTTGCGCAATTAAGAACTCTCTCTGTCGGCCCCACGATAGGCAGCGACGATCTGCTTGTAGTCCACAGCCTGACTAGACGTCGATTTCCCTCACACTGTCTGTGGCCACCAGTCCCGCGGATGCCATGAGTGCGCGGCAGCCCGTGTCGCAGTCAGGACACGAAGATAGCTTTGCAAGCAATGAATGGCCAACCTCCACAGGAAGCTTCCAGTAGACTGGATAGACTTCGCTACAGCTCTCAATTCGCCCCGCCGTCGGTATGAAGATGCCGCAAGAATTTTGGCCATCCTCAGCCGCCGGCATCAACATGGTATCAGCCCACGTCGGGTGGCCAGGGCTAGGGAACAGGAAAGAAAGCCATTTTGAAAACGTCTACGTTGTGGTCACCACTTTGACAGCTAACACGGGAGCCAGGGAAGCCAGCTTATATTTTGCGTGCACCGTGAGCAGAGCGGCAAGCCGGGGCGGAGACGCCAAGAGGCTATGGAGGCCAACTGCTTCATGAGAAGATGCCTCCAGAGGTCGGGAGTTCATCAAGACGGGCAGGCAAGCCTTCTGGGCCTGATCGACGAATTGTTGCAAGCTTACCTCAGTTTCCTTGGCTCATGCACAAATACTTGCAGGAACAACGTCAAGTCTAGAAATCTTGGCAGCTCCTGACGCAGCAACATGCCGCCGAATGACACCGGTCAGACACTTCACCTCAAACTCCACAAGCACGAGGATCATGAAGAGCCGATGAGACCAGGGAGAACTCCGGAGCTCGGTCTGCGTGTGGAAAGTATGCAGGCAATCTCCCCATGTCCATTTCTCCGCCCCCCCACCTTGTCCAAGCTCTCTGCTGACACCTTCTCCGACTGGCGACGAAGCCTCTGAACAATGCGGGATCTCCGTATTGACTGCGGCTACACGAACAGATCCTGCAATTTGCCTGTGAGCCGTGTCCAGATTGCAACGTGCTTGCTGCAGATGCATGCTTCGGTCTTGAGCATTCGTCTTAAGATCCTTCGCCTGCGCACAGGAGCGAACTTGCACAGTTCTCGCAGTCCAGGGACCGAGGCCCAGACCTGCTGGATTCTGGCAGATGCCTCCAGCACCAAACACCAGGCCCTCGCACTCCAGAGCTCTTGAAGCCTGCCGAGCTTTGCCAACTGTCGAACTGACGGTCCACGCTCTCACAACCTCCGCACCTTGCAACATCAAGGTCTGGTCCATGCGGTGTTAGGGTGTCGAGTGGCTGCAGGATGCGGTGGATGCGCTCGAACCTCGGGCTAAACTCTAGGCCTAGGCCAACAGCGGGATGTGTACGAGGACGAGCATCGCGCATGGAAGCTGCCAGTTCCCACTGGCAACTGTCTCCAAGTTCTTGTCCTCTGCCTAGGCATGGACAGCGACAAAGGTGGCCAGCAGGCGCGAAAAGTGCCTCCAACGCCCTTGAACCCTTCATCGGCTCTTGTCATTGTCATGACCGTGCGCGGGACCACAAACTGAAAGTGACAGTCAGACTCAATCAGACACTGATTTGCGTGGTCCTGGACAAGCAACTAGAGGATGCTTGGATCAGGTTGCACCTCCACCTGCTGTATGCATCCAGGCTGCTCCAGGCCAAAGACACAGCTTCTCGAAGCGCCGCAAGCCCGGGAGTAGCAGGCGCACAGTTGCGAAGTTCAGCGTGAAGCGACACCCTGGCCGAAACCGCCGCAACGGCGTCCAAACGCTGCAGCAGCTCCTCCCGTGACACGCAGCTCCGCAGATCCACAGCTGATGAAGACACATGTCACGTTTCTGACAACCATTTCGCGGCTGTCCGTGTCCGATCGCTTCAACTCCAAAGCTCGGATCAACAGCTGCACTGAGATAATCAGGCCGTTCGGATCTTCCTGGGACTCCTGGAGCGCATCGGCTAAGTGTCAACTGTCAATGAGTCAAAAGGTGCCAAGAAGCACACGGAGCGGCTCCTCCCGCACCGCACAAGCGACGAAGAACTCCAGGCCGGCGGTTGCCAAATCCTCCCAAACGCGTCACTCGCCCACGTGCTGCCGAAAGGCTTGCAGGCGAAATCGTCTGGAAGCTCCTCTGACGGCTGCTCCAGTACGAGCTTCGCCGCTCTTGCTGCCTCCTCCAGCCTAGCTGCGGCCGGCGCATCTCTCTCTGGGATGCCAAGGGTGCTGGCATGGTGCTCGGTGCCCTGCGAGAGGCCCGGAGTGTGCTTTCGCATCATCTCCAGCTGGAGCCAAGCCTTGCTGGGCTGTGCAAGGACCACACACCACAGGAGGCATCGCTTCCGCTGAAGGCTTCGGCCTCCTCGGGGCGCGCTTTGTGACTTTCCTCGGCCTGGCCGGAGACTCTCGGTCACAGACCGTCTGTGAGCCTTCAACATATAGGCCCATATGATGCAGATAGGCCTTCAGCTTCTCGCAGGAGACTTCTAACAGCAGGAGCCGGGCGGCGACTTCGACTCTCGCATCTGCCAAGGCCTCGCTCAAGGCGTATCTCTCGGCTGCCTCGGCCTCTCGGCCTCCCCGCCTTCTGTGCAAAAGCTGCTGCTTCCTTGTTCAGGCCAGCACGGTGACAGCAACGCCCTGGGTCAAAAGAGCAACGAACTGTCTTGGAGCATGCATACAACCCTCCAGTGCCCACTAGTATGACCCCGGCCTACACCCAGCCAGCACTTCGCCACTTCTTCGGGTGCCTCGTGGTGGCGGAACACTTTCCATCACAGTGACCATGTTGCTGCAAGGCCAAAGGCCTCAGGATGCGCTGAAAGGAACATTGCCTCGGTCAGAAATGAGACGGCGCGGCACGAAGACAACCACACCACACCACAGGCTGGGATTCCTGCTGCCTTCAGGATGTCTTTTGCCTGGGGAACACTAGCTTCTAAGCCGCGCTAGCTACTTGTAGGGTCGCGATCGTCTAAACAGCCGGAGGAGCCGCATCAAGGTGACCGTTCCTCCAAAGAGTAGCCTGGGAGATGCAGAAATGACTGTCAGGACAGACCGAGCGGCGTTTCCGGCAAGCTCCAAGTTTCAGGCCAGCAAGCCCCAAAGCTTCCTGACATCCAGTCTGCAGTGTGCAGCCAAGTCAATGAAATTGCAATCACTCTGCTCCATCCCACACAGACCTGATTTCCACGTCGAGGGTGCTCGAAGCTGGGTCGAGGGGCCTTGCGACGAGAAGAAACTCTCCTGCAACCCCGACCCGGATCGCCGTGTCACTGACATCCGAGCTCTCCCTTTTTTGTGATCGCGCTTCTGCGATGCAGCCACTCTTTGATGGCATGGGCTAGCAATCGGCTCACGGCATCTAGTCACTGCGTAAACCGGAAAAGCTACAGGCACCTCGTGCTTCTGCGTGATGCCCACCTTGCAAAGAAGCACGTTTGGGGCCACATGCTGCCAAAACATGCACATTGTACGTTATGATGTCGCGCTACTCAACTACGTACTTCCCTCACCCTTGGCTCACCAGTCCACAAAAGTTCAAGCTGTGGCGCGCAGGGTGCTGCCCACACGACGCTGCATAAGAATGTTGCCCCTGCTTTCTGATGCTTTATAGGTTCTGGTGTGGTGCTCACCACAATTTCTCCTGAGGCCTGTGCAGCTTGGCCGTTACACTTGTCCTGTTTCGGGCGCGCGCTTCACCCACCTTTGCTTCGTGCCTTGCTCCCTTTCTGCTTCGTGCGGCTTCTGGAAGAGATGATCTGCAAGATCGCTGACAAAGGTGCTTGCGAAGCTGCAGAAGACAGAACCAGACACGACGGCACAACCAGACATGCCAAGGAGCTGGTTTCTTTCGTGACCAGCTTGCCGTATCATGCTCTAAGCGAAGGAGTTTGCGGGAGAAGTGTGGCTTCTCCTCAGTCTCCCTGAACGAGTCAGCTCAGTCAAACCCTCTTGACGGACAAGGATCTTCGAGCCGGGCTTCTCAAGCCAGTGAGTCTTTATGGCACGCCCGCAGTGGATCCTTTGCACTGGATGTGCTCGTGCGCGAGTCTCGGATGCCGAAAGCTCGGGACAGCAAGTGTAAGTCAGCGTATGAGACCAAGAAGGAAGCACACGCTCAACGGTCTCAAAGCCAAAGCCAAGGCACATCTTGGGAAGAGAACTGTCCTGCCGGCACACAGGACATCATGAGCAGAATGAGGCACCATGAAACATCTCATGCCAGCTGCGTGCCTGAGCAAATGCCTTTCGGAGTGCAGACGGAAGTGAATTGCCACGCCGATCCTTGAGTGGAATCCTGAGCATTCTGTCTCGGTCTGCCGTGGGGTCGTCTCGCCCGAGGGTTCAGCTGAGACCGTGTCGTTCTTCTCATTGTCTGAACCATTCTCAACTATGTGCAGATTCCAGATTTCCGGTGAGAAGGCAACCGAACAACAAGAGAAAGATAATACTTTCGGGAGCCATCTGAAATGCGGCACGAAATCTCAATGCCTTTCCGTGGAAGTGTGCCTCGGACCTTCCAGTCAGACCCAAGATGACGCGGGGCGGGGGGGGGGGAGTCCCCCTTTTGATAGGAAACCAGAGAGAGAATTGAATGCTACTGGAATCCAATGCACTTACACGATTCCCTCTCTTTGTCTCCCTGCCGCACCACTGCGCATAATTCCGTTTACACGAGCATTGAGCAAGACCTTGTTCTTGCGCTGAGCATCAGATTCCAGATGGTGTATGTGTTGCCAGTGTAGTTCATGTCCATGAGTGGACAATCGCCATAGCCTGAGCTGTTCGCTGTGAGCAACATGCTTGCTTTTCACGCTGGCCCAGCTGCGTTTAGGCCCAGCTGCGTTTACTGACAGACCAAGGCACCGAACATACCAAACTCCATCTCAGGGCCTCCTTTCCAGTAGCTCCGGCTGAACTCAAAGAAAGAGTAGCCCATGAAGTAGGGATATCTCGGAGACTTCGCCAGCCTTAGATTCGCCAGAAGCTGGGCTCCCGGAGCCCCCGTGGCCCCGATCCGAGCTGGTCCGAGCTTCTGCACGGCTTCTGTGAGGTCCTCCTCCATGTTGCCATGGACGCTGTGATACTCACCTATGAAGACCTGAAGCGAGCTGGGGACCCTCTTAAGCGCAATGACCCGTCCAAGAAGAGGCGAGTATGTGGGATTATATGGGCCGAGCCACAGGAACCTTCAAGGTCGGAGTCCAGAAGCTGCTTTGAGAATACTTGTTCAACATCATGTTCGCCACCTTATGCCGGGGAAAGTGTGTGGTGCTTCAGAAAGCTGCAGGCTTTCCGGGGCATGGGCCTCCCTGGCTTTGTTGGCCGTGTTGAAACTGTGAACAAATCGCTTGCGAAAAGCCTGAGTTATGCTGGCGTTCACAGCTGGTGAGTCTTTTCGATTCGTCGGCCTGGACCAAATCATTCCTGGGCGTGTAGTTGATGGGCTCCTTCTCGGTACCCTTCTGCAAACAAGCCCAGAACCTCGGTGGAGGTTGCCCAGTGGTGCCGCGCGGACATGTCCCAGCGCTTGACCAAGGTGCTCCTCCATTTGCCCCAAAGCGGGAGCATTGGGGTGAACCTCAAAGGCTGCACTCCCATGATCCCTTCCTGGTGCCGAAACCAAGAAACAACCTGCGGCAGTGAAAGCTGCACTTGATGTAGGATTCCAACGTTCGCATCTGGGAAGAGAGCAAAAGACCACGTGATGGTCAATGCGATGGGGTTCCCAGTTACACCCACATCCTTCTCCTCAGGTCGTTCGGAGGCCCTACATCTCAGAACGACAGAGCAATGCCAACACAAGCAGCTTTGAACGGATGTTCCTGTTGAGCTATGTACGTAGACCTCGAGTAGGATGGGGGACTCCTCAAATGTAGCTGAGCTGCAGCTTCCAAGATTGCATCGAACACAGATGCCATCGCTCTGCAGGTCAGACTTCGTGGATGTACCTGCGCGGCACAGGGCCGGGATCTGTGCCCATCGATCATGTTTTCGTCCTGGCCTTCAAGTCTGGTTCATTCGCCAAGATCAAGGCTTTCAGAGCAGGATGGTAGCCTAACGGTCACTCCAGACCATGTCACAGTCTTGGCGCGATGCTCCTGCGAGTCGAGTCGCGCTTGAACGAGTCGATGGCGAAACCTGAAGGGTCAGTGCCCCCATGATTAAGTAGTAGCTGCAAAGAACACATCAGCTGCCCTGAGAACGGCTGAGTACGCGGGCCCATCAAGAGATTCTTGTGAAAGTAGAAGTAGGCCTCATCGAAGCAGTACCTCTCAGGTGCAGCGATTCTTCCAGCATGGAGCAAGGGTTGCACCAAGGCTAAGGGCAGCTCCAGTCGTTGATCAAACAGTTGTCCGGGCCCTGTGTGAAGCCAAAGTCGCTCATGCCTGCGTTGGGTAATTGTAAAACACTGGCCTTCATCATTCTGAGAGGGTTCTGGGTCATATGAGTCATATGATGTCCTTTGGAACTTGCTTCGCGACACTTCCACATGGCTCGAGTCGGGAAACCCAGTCGCACCACGGACGACACGCTCTTTAAAAAAAAAGCGTTTGAGATCGTTTGAGAACCCTCTCTGACTTGGGAGGCAAGAGGGTTCGGGTAAGCCTTCATACGAAACTGAGAAGGATACTGGAAGGCTTTTTGGGCACCTGCAACGACATCAATGCCCTTCTCATAGGCCAGGTCCAGGAAGGCCCTGTGGCTCGTGTTTGCATCGTTGCCTGCAAGGCCGGGCAGCTGTGATGCTTTTGGCCACCGGAAAATCTAGAAAATCTAGAGCCAGGCTGCCATACATTCGGATGGTGTTTCCTCCCAACTGCTTGATCAGCTCCAGGTCGCCGCGGCCCCAGTCAGCCCACATCGCTCCAGTGATGTCTGCCATGTAATCGTCGCCGTTGATGGGGGACCCCGCCTTCTTCACGGGCGCGGGCCCATACGACACACCTCGGTTCCGGCTAACTACGGCCAGCTCAACCTGGGTGACTTTCTCTGTGGGGCCAGGCAGCCTTTCATCGTTTGATACGCGGGATCGAGCACTTTGGGCGTGTCGAAGTGCTCGTAGTTCACAGGACATGGTTTGGGACACGTGACCTTGTCGACCTCGTGTACAAACTGCCTCGGAGACTCCAATCGACGCACGAAGTCTTTCTTCCGTTGAGGTGCCGCGCACTGCTTCAGAGCCAGAGGCTTTCGATCATCGCAGCTAAGCGGCTGAAACTCCTGGAAACTGGAAGCTCCTGGAAGAGAGCTGAGCAGGTGACAGTTGCATGCCGTCGCACCATGTGCTCATGGCTGGGTCTGGTGATTCTGACTTCAGTCCTGCATGAAGACCAGCATACTGCTTAGGATTGGCGTAAATGTTGTCATGCATCCTGACTTGCCGGGGGGGACACACAGGGGACCACCAAGAAATCGAGAAACCACAACACTGACAGTCACTACCAATCACGATAATCCCGAGATCTTGAGTATATGGTGCCATGTCCCCAGTTTTGGCCTAGGCACGCCCAGTCAACGGCTTTCCAGCAAAGGTCATCCATCTTGGGCGTGCCACAAACATCGCCTCCAGGTAACTCGCCTTCCACCAAGAAGCTTTGAGCAAAAACACGCAACCGTTGAAAAGGGCCCATGGGCTGGCATCATCGAGAATCTGCCGAGGAACTGAAGCCTTCCTGTGCCTTGCATACTCCGTTCTCGGCCGTGTATCCCGCAATGCACAGGCATTTGCCAGCCACGCACTGCGTCAATCCACGGCTGGCCGCGCAACTGAAAAAATGGCATCTGCCACCGGTGTCATGACCCTCGACGTTGTCGGGGACTGGCGTGCATTTGTCTGCTTCCTGCAGGTGAGCCGTGCGAGAGAACACAAAGGGGACATGCAAGCACATTGATTCGTCCTTGTTGTAGTAATAGTTCTCGCGGCAGATGCATCTGAAGTGATGGCATTCTGTCGGGCCAAGAGAAACTTCGTCACAGTTGGTCCAGAAACAGGAACTGCCGGTCTCTCGTGCTCCTCGAACAAGTGATAAGCTCTGAAATCTTGGCACATCGCAACAGGCGGTAACAAAATACATACTGTGACGTGGCCTTTCCATGAGATAATGCTAGCATCGCCGGATGCTTCTTCGCCTTGGAGGAGCATCGACTCACAAAGAAGTGGGAGAGAGAGAGAGAGAGACACACACAAAGAGACTGGGAGGCGGCAGGCGTTGAGGATCGAGGCCGACGAGGCTGTGGACCGCTCTGAAGTGTTTTCAGCATACACAAAAGCAAAGCATCAGCAAAGGAATCCCTAATGCGAATCGGGCGAGCAGCTTTGAAGTAGCTCGTCTTGGTACCTGAAGCCAGCCATGTCCGTTTGAGGAGCACCGCCAATACTCAAGAATTTGCCGGCCGGGCAGCTCCTTCCTCATACCTGCCCTCTGCAACGCGCTCCTCGGTTGCAACTGTGACAGCTGAAGCTGCTTGGAGCTGCTTGGCATGCCTTTCTGTCTGTTGGAAGCCCCCCGTGCGTGTTTGATCGTGTTTGCAGGCCAGCATCAGAGCACATGTTTCCGCTTCAGATCCGTCAGAGCATTCGTCATCCTCCGAGATAGGCACTGCCGCCTCAGACGGCCTTGGAATTCTTGTAACTATCTGTATTGAATAATAATTGTTGAAATATCCGCAAAATTGCCGGACTGCAAGCGTCAAGCTGCGTGAGAGCATCAGCTCTCTCTACGCCGCCAACACCACAGAGCTGCGCGGCCCCCAGGAGAACGGCGAGCCTTGTGACCATCATCGCAGTCTCCTGGCTAGATCACACTGCAAGACGCTGTGTGTCACTATGGACTAAATTCAACCGAGACTGCTCCTCAGACCGGTTGCGGCGTGTAGCGCAGCCCAGCGAAGCGTGTGGCACAAACTCTCTTCGTCTTCGTCTGACCCTATTCTTTCCTTCTCATACCTGCGAATCATGAAGCATCTCTGGACATCTTTGGACCGTGACTTTAGTGCAATTAACTGCGAAGTGGGCTGCGGATGTGGCCGGGACAGCTTCGTCCAGTGATGCAAGCGCAAGGGGTCTGCAATCAAGCTACTCGACGAAGTTTGCACTCCGAGCACGGGGCTCATCCACAAGCTTCGTAGCAGCATCGCATACCTGCATGAACTGTCAACTGCCACGAAAATCTCAATTTGAAGCAGCAAGCAGATGCCTGCCTCATCGTTCGATGCATCTGACTGCGCTGCGCCTCCCAGGGCTCTCTTGGTGAACTCCCGCTGGCGTCTTGGACCGTTGAACACCGAGACTCAGTTCCTGCATGTTTTGATCTTTTGCAGTGATCCGCGCTTGGCAGCTGGGCAAAGCTTTGGCCCTCTCAAATGCACCTCGTGACTTTGCACGGGCTGCATGCGGCATCACTGCAGGCCGGATCGGTCAGCATCTGTAATGGCTCGAGGCCATACATCGGAGCTGGAGTTTATCGGTTGTGTCCGGTGTTGGGCCGGGCAACGCCTTGTTTGAGAAAAGTGCAAGCATTCAAGCCAAGCAGGCTTTCTTGGCTTGTGGAGTGCTTGTTGGTTCAAGCAGAGGTGACGGCAGATGCCGTGGGAGAGCCACTCAGGGAGCTCGCTCTGTTGATATCCTGTTGGCCTTGCCAGAGGCCGCAGAACCGTACAAGAGAACAAGAGCAATCATTTGTACACAACTTTTGGCAAGCAGGCGCGCCGGCCTTCACGAAAGAATGGCCAGATGTCGGGAGCTCGCCGCTTGTGACAGAGCGTCCGCAAGAAAATGCGACAGAAAGACCGCACGGGCACCTGAAAGCCGGACATGCATTGGGATCTGCAAGTCTGAGAGCACACAGCAACACAAAGCAGCCACAGCCGTGACTTGGGGCCCAGGCAAACCATCGAGCTTTTGACAAGAATACCGCTGAAATTACCTAAGCCAAGTTGAAGTAGGACACTCAGTCGGCGCAACGTCGAGTAGCAGATGCCAGAAAGGTGCTGCAAGCAGGAGAATCTTGCTTCCAAGAATGAAATATCTCAGGGCAGGGTAGCACAGGCCGTTTGAACAATTCAAGGACTACAGGCCGCTGAAAAGTGGAAAAAGATGTGGCCACTCAGACATGCTGTGTAATTTGACTTGAGGAGCTTGTACCCGCAGGCCTGAGCAGCATCCTGGCAAGAGCACGACCTGCCGACTCCTGGGTGAGCTCCAAGACGAAGGCGGCAATCCTAAGTCACAGAACCGATGCTGAAAGGGAGAATTGGCAAGACTGGGCCGAGTCGAAAGAACTGAAGGTTCAAAGACAGCCCCAACGACCGCACGGCACTGCATAAAACACGACCGCTGTTCTGCATCTAAGTCACGACACGGACGAAAGCATGCCGAAGACCAGCAGCAGCGCCAACCTCAAAGAGCACCCAAGCTGGCGAATAAACGGGTTTCTGAATCTGTGCCTCGAGCAAAAACGTCCACGTGGCCAAGCTCCGGGCGAGATGCGCCATCGACGCCAGGACAAAATGCTACTCCAGTAACGCAACCATGGGCCTCGTTTCTGCTTGAAGCTCGTGATGCTTCTGGTGGACTCACACCAAAAGCCAAGTTGCACAAGCGTCTGTTGCAATCATCCACAAGGATGCCTCGGTCGGCTTCCAATTCTACTTGCTGGATTTGGCTTTTGCTAGCTCAGGACTGTCTGCATTGTCAGCGCGAAGAGCTGATATGTGCTGAAGGACATGCTAATGCTGGGCAAGATGCAAATTGAGTTGATGTGGCTGGCCATGTAGTTCGGAATGTACCTCGCGACAGGACCCGTCTTGAAAGACTGGTCGAAGTTGTTTTCCTGCGACTCGCAAGCTCTGATTCCAAAGGAAGCTATATCCCGTAGGTCACTGCTTTGGTAGCTCCGGAACCTGCGGCCGGAGTGACAACCTTGCTTTGGGAAGTCTCTCCTGGCAGAATAAAGCGTCACAAGCACTGGACTGCGATGACTTCGACGATCTTCTACGGCTTTTTCCCAAACAAAAGCGCACTTCAGAAGCACGGCGTCCTGTGCCGAAAAGCCTCGGCTCTTGAACTGCAAAGCTTAGGTCATATCCCCATATTATTACAATTATTATTATTATTACTACTATTATTATTACTATTACTATTATTATTACCATTATTATTATTATTGTTATTACTAGTATTATTATTACTACTATTATTGTTATTACTACTATTATTATTACTATTATTATTATTATTAGTAGTAGTATTTGTTTTTTTTGTTATTACTATTACTATTACTATTATTACTATTAATATTGTTACTATTATTGTTATTACTACTATTATTATCAGTATTATTATCAGTCTTTGCATCCAGCGCATTGAAGAACAGGGTCCCTAACTCCTCGCGGCTGCTATTCCAAAGAACATGGTTGTGGAAACCGGAAATTGGCGAGTTGCTTTTGGCCAGTGCGCCACGGTCGGAAACAACAGCCTGGCAGAAGGACATGGAGGCTGACAAGCATCCGTTTGGAAATCTGGCAGAAGCACCTCTGCGTCGGCACCCAGAGGAACAAGCGTCTCGTAGCTTTGTGAGGTGGAGGTACTCTGCTCGCTCGCCTGATGCACAAATCGCTCCAGGAATCAGGGTCAATCACGAACACTTATATTAACAAATGTCAATTGACAAAATACGAGACGTACAAAGCAATGTTTACGGCGGAGCCTGCTCGCGGCTGATCAAGTCCACGTGTTCCGGGTCATCGTACTCCACCTGCGAACATCCGCTGTCCCAAGATCAGCCATATCAATTTTCATTTCCAAGGCCCCAGGGCTAGCTGTGTATAACCGGACCAACCGCACAAGTGGCCAAGCCACAACGACAAAAGGATCCTCAATAGATTTCACGATCGCGCGAGCGTGGTTGTCGACCAGCACCTCAACTGCAGTGTCCTTGCGATCAGCGCCTGGACATGCTAACATGTTGCAATATATTCGACTGCGCTATACTACTTTTTTCAGTGTGTTAAACTGTGTTATCTGCGTTTATATGCTAGCATGCCTCTGCATGCTTCCGCTGAGGTGCCAAGTCTCCAGGCGAAAGTCGAGTTCCCGGGAAGCCTTCGCGAAGCAGCGCTTGCTGTCCACTGGCCTGGCTACACCCGGATTCTCGGTTCAAGACTTAGCGAAGTCCAACCTTGCCTTCTCTGCATCCTCGGGCTCCGAAACTGCCTCGTCAGCTGAAGGTAAGGTCTTGTGGCTTGCTGTGTCTTGCTGTGCTGCGGTGCCTCTTGGGGCTGAGGTGCGGACGATGCTGACCCAGTGTGCGCCTTTCAGTACGGTCCTGCTTAGCAATCCCGAGTCGGTCCGTGCGTCGCGCTTTCGGTCCGTGATTTCAGATTTGGCCTGCCTGCAATCAGTACATTCAAGTGCTAGTGTGTCCACATCAGCCCATTCCTCTGAACCTGCTCAACCAAAACCAACTGCGTCCTGAGCTCAGAGAGTGTAAGTCGTGGCTTTCCATCACGGAAGCAGCGCGCAGCCAGGGACTGCAGCTCATGGTCATCGTTCACAATGCCCTGCCGAGTCAAGGCATCGCGCAGATGCACATTGCGCCACACAATGGCTCGGATCTTTCACCAAACATCGGCTTGCAGTCCTGAAGATCGGCGATAACTCTCCTGAGGAAGGCAACCATCTGCGCCTGGGAAGGCAACTGCCACCACACTCTACTGAAGATCCAAGAAAGACGACTACGAAAAAATGTGAAACCACCTCATCCCCTCACCACCTGCTAGAACCCGGAAACAGAAAACCCCAAACTCTCCGAGCGCCTGCTTAGGGATAGGATTCTGGGGTTTGCGTGCTCGCCGGTTGAAATACTTCTCCCAAAAAGGCCGTCGGATGCCTGCATATTGTAAAGCCTAGACCCTGCAGACCCGAACGACCCCAAACGCCTAAAGCCTGCAAGTCCCGAACACACCCCGAAACCCAAGAGTCCGAAGACGTAGATCCCCAAAGAACGTGAAAAACTTTGACAGCCAACACGGCATTCAGTTTCAGAAGCTACTCTCTGCACATAGGGCTCCGAGGCAAGCTGTGCATCAAAGGCACACTGTCTCTCCAGGCAGCCGCACTCGCAAATCCTGGCAACAGAAGCTCCAAGCGGATTGTCGAAGTCTCAATCCGAGCAGCGAGCCTTCTTGTGTCAGCGGGGCATTGACTCCACCGTGCACCATGGAAGCTCGAAGCTTGGGACACGACCTCTAGACTCCAGCACACTTGGACAGACTTAAACTTCCCGTTTGGAACTCCGTAACAGATGGATCTTTGTGCCCGACAGCAGCAGCATGATGAATGCCAGCATGCCAGGCACCACCGCAGACAGCAGCCAGAGATTTCGCTGATGTGGCCGCAAAGCAGAGTATGCCAGAGGCAGCACCAGCCAAGCCACGAGAGTGCCGGTCCTGCAGGGATCGTTTTGAAAGCTTCCCTAACTAGCGCCAGAGTGTCCAGGCTTGAATTGGTCCGAGGATCACCAAGAACGACCGCCAGAGGAGAATGTAAAGGATGAAGTTGGACACACAGCTCATCGCATCCTTCGCGAGACGTTTTTTGAGGAGGTTGCAAGTAAACTCATAGGTTGACACTTTGGACGGAAGGCGAAAGCAAGTGCATGGCAGCTAGATGCAGGTGCGACATCCTCGACAAGGTCACGCTTGACATCCGCAACATCGTCCCAAAGTCCCTGCAGGTGAAAGTTCGGATCGCCGTCCACCTGCCGACAGCATGAAAGGTAGCAAGAATAGAAAGACTGCAGCGCTCCTGAAAAAGCAGGCGATGAGTCCACACAGAAAGCCGGCTGACTCTCTGCAACTCTGCGGTTAGGGAATGCAACATGCGCTTCAGACGAACAAGCGAACGGCAGCCGGTCGCAGCGCTAATATGCAACGGTGCAGCTTGCCAGTAAGAAGTCGGGAAGTGCAGGCGCGTGTGGACGCGCTTTAGAACTGCACATCCAGCAGAACACAACCCCCAAGCTTCCCAGCAGAGCCATGGCAACCAAGATTCGAAGCTTGTGATGACGGGACTCCCATGATCATATAAGCTATCAGATGAGCGACAGGAGCACGGAGGCAGAACAAGGCCGAGAAATAGGGCTCTCCAGGCTAAACACACACCTAGCTGCTCTCGGCCCGCCAACGATCAAGAAAGGCAGCACTCTGATGTTGTAAGCCCGGGCCTGCAGATGCGTGCCATGGTCTTCTGAGGCAGGCGGGCAAAGTGCCATTGCAAACATGGCGTCCTGAGCGGGAGTTCGAGGAGAAATCGAAGCTGGGCTGGGGATCTGATGTGCTTGCCGTGGAATGAAGGCAGTCCTTGCCACGGTCCAAGTAAGACAAGCGTATGCGAAGTAGGATCCTTGGAGCAGTAACAACCATACTGCTTACAGTTCGTCTCCATCAAGCATTCGTTTGAAAGCTGCGTTGAGTTGATCCTCTGGTCTTGATGCTTCGAAGATTCTCTCCGGCATTCGGTCCATGTCCAGTACGTAGCGCCTAGCAAGACAGGCATTCTCCGATATCAGCCTGTGTCAACATGAAGCAGCTGCTTGTGTGGTTTCATAGTGGAGATTCACAGTGCTGCGTCAACAGTTGCAGCGTTTGCACAAGACGACTGGTACACAAAAAGGGATCGCTGCAGTGTCGATTCAACAAGCATGCCTGCCGAAATCTGCTGAAGCTCCTGCCTCTGGAAGCGGAAGGCCGAGCTCAGCCGAGCGATCGACAAAGTAGCCGACACAGTTTCTGAGTAGACTCCTGCATGCGACTGTTGGGGGTGGGGTGAAACGACAATGCACCTGTTGACTAGCTCTTCAGCAGCATGCACGGAACCTCGGGTGTCCGGTTTTCTCTGGAGGCTCCACCTGATCCTCGGTACAAAAAACGAAGCCTACAAAGTCCACATAATGCATGTCCTTGCATCAGTCTGTGTTTTCTGTGCCGTTCGCACGTCACACGCCCCACACATGATGTTGACATGAAGGCCACATTGCGCCAAACGCATCTGCAGCTTGGTATCCGCCGGCTCTGCGTCCTGACGTGCAAGCCGTGCTAACCCGCCATCCGGATCTGATTGCCGTGCACGAGAAGCTCCTGTTGCCTTGAGCGGCTCTGCCGTCTGCGCCTGCAAACGAAGGATCTCGACAAGTGATGCTCCAGGCTGCAGACCTGAAGCGCCTTGCGGCCGCCCCACCCCCACAGTCAGCATCACGGCGCTGGCAGTGGGCTTCGTATCGCTCTGAACTGGTTCGCTGCAAGTTATCCTTCGACGAGATGCTGTTGCTATCACTCAGCTGCAGGCGTGGCAGCCGGTCCTTGTAGCGTAGTTCGAACCACCCTTCGATGTCCCGATTGAAGGGCACATCTCCCAGGCAGATTTCCACAAAGCCCATCTGCGCATCTCCTTGGAAGAACACTGAAGCCCCCTCCTGTCCCCATTGTACCCATCATTCGCGGAAAGCAACTGAGCAAAGCTCGCATCATCATGACATTGGAGTGCGTCTGATCTGCCACCTGTATCCTTTAATCAGAGGATAATTGATGCAATGCGACCAAGACAGCAAGGGAAGGCCCGTAAATCATAAAGGCCCCGCGACAGTCCTCAACATAGAATAGGGGCATACAACATCCAGTGATCGGTGAAAGCGCCTCAGCTCATGACCGCTCAAGGTATTGCCGAACCGACCGAACTCACCAAGTCTACCCACCCAGCACATCGCGACCGAGCCAATTCACGACAGACACGGCCCAGTCAGTTCTCGCGGCTGGAGCAAGGAACACACTCCCGCAACCCTCAGCATGGATAATTAAGCCTCAATTCCCCACCCGTGCATGCGTAAGGGCATGCTAGGGAGCCAGTCTGGAGTCGTTGTTCTCTGTTGGCACTTGGTCCTGCAAGCGAGCCGATCATCAAGGTAGACCTGCCAGACTCTGCGATTCATGGAGACACCGGCATGACGGTTTACTGCTGAATGCTGGTGCCTTGGCATAGGGATTGCAAGAAGGCTGCAGCGTCAAGGAAAGTTCTTCTCCGACAAGATCCCGGGCACTCAGTATTGACAACTCGAGATGTGCAACAGGTCCCAGCGTCTCCACCTCAATTGGGGGCGAGATGCAATGCAAAGGCCGCCAGCCAAGTCTTGGAGCGCGGAAGTGCACACGACCAGCTTGTCCAGTTATTGATTGCTACCCGGGTGCTGCACGATCAGGGTGGAAGATGCACCTCCATCGATTAAAATGAAAGTCCTCTCGGGGCAACTCATTCGCCAATACCTCCGGCCACGTCTGCGCAGTCGGCAGGTTGACGAGTTTGATCTGACTACGGCGCTGCCGAGATGCAGGGCGAAGTAAAGGCTGATCTTGGCCTGTCTCTTCATCTGACCATCCTCGTTGCGGAACTCGTCTCAGGCCATGCCGGTATTCCTCCGTGAACATCAAAACTCTTCAGAGGTCCTACAAGGAACCTCTTGGATGCTTTTGGAATTTCCCCGGTCTCCTGTTTCGGGGCCTTCTGCCTCGGATCGAGGCTGGGGTCCAGGAGCGAAGTGAAGCCCTTCTCGGCCCCCCAGCGTCTCTTCCTGAGGGTTTCGGGCTTCATGGCTTCCTTCAGGCCTTTAGGGCTTTCTGGGTTAAGACGCAGCACAAAGTGTCAAGATCAAGATGTGGAGGCGTCAAGTCCAGTTGCCAGCAAGCTTCTCCTCCTCTGCAACCCGCGGGTTGGATGCAAAGACATCGTTGGCCAGTGTTTGGAACTCAGAGTCCGAAGCACTTGCGTCCACTCGGCCGGGTTCCTGCACCTTAAGGGGGCGGAGCTTCCCGCCAGCTGTCGGGTTCCTAAGAAGTCCGTCTTGCGAACGCTGTTTACATCATGTTACATCCAAGTCTCTACCCCTCCTGGCGATCGGCTCAAGGATGCCATGACAAGGATGCAGGGCTTCGAATCATGGCGCCATAGGAGGCGTTTGCTTGCTGATGGTTTGAAGTTGTGCTCTCCACTGGTCAGGCTGAGTCAGGCTGACATTTCCAAATTTGCTTTCGCGAGTCACGGGAGATGCCTGAAAACGCTTAGGCTGATGAGCCGAAGGTGCATGCACACAGCTCACAGAAGAAACAAATCGGCTCTCGAAAAGATCACACTCCTTGCTTTGCCCGTCGTACAAGCCCTGGTGGCCAAGTGCACCTCGCGATCTGCGCTGAACCAGAGCCGTGAGCTGGACCTCCGATGCCCAGAGACACAGCGTCGCACAAGTCTGCAAATCAGCAGCGCCCTAAACCGTGCCGGCCTTTGGTGATTTTTTGTCTTTCCGAAATGCTCACAACATCGTGATTAGTTTCTTGTATGAAACTATGTGCACACTATGACTAGAAGCGGAAAGCCCGTCAAGGGGCAATGGTCTTTGGCCTATGACTTGTCAGATTTCAAGGGCGAGCTATCGGATGCAGTCTAACCAGTTAGTGTCCAGCAGTTACAGTACAGTTGTCTGCAATCCGCTTCCAACCTGCAGAGCCAGCCGCCGCTCTTCCGAATTCGGAGCTTCTGCGACTGCCTGCTGAGAATGGGCCTTGGGCAGGGAGTCGCGGTTGCCGGATGTTATGTTTTGGTCTAGGAACACGAACAAGCCGCCTAATACTGATACTTTCACGTTGCTTCATGTGGACACCCCAATTCCCTTGGGTGGCAGACCACAGCAAGGTCCAGATCGGACAAGTCCATGTGACAGACAGCCAACATGCGAAAGAGCCTGAGAATTGATTTATCCGATGACTCAATGTGTCCCAACTGCCACATGGCTCGAATCAGCAAGCCGACGCCTGCATTTCTTGGATGAGCCACCTGTCAAAGTGTGACTTTGACAACGTCGGCATCACGAAGTCTCATGTAGCCGCGATACAGGACACCGCTAGCATCTGCCTGCAACCTTCTGACATGGGGATGTGGTTTTTTCGACCCTCAACCATGTGCT